GGCTTTGAGGCCAGGCCGACCTCACGGGGTGGCACACGCCCCTCTGCGTCTTGCCTTTCTCCACAGTGCCTCCCGGAATCCCTCCCGCTGGGGGGATAGTCCCCTCCACTCTTGGTAAGAGTTGGTCTAACCACAGCCGAGGGGTGGCACCTGTGACAAATGCCCCGTGACCACACCCACCCCCTCCAGATGTTTTGCCACAATGAACAGAAGTAGCTGGAGACGTGGCTGAGCCCCCGGTGGGGCCCTGGAATCTGCATTCTAACACACATTGGGGGAAATCGCGTGCGCTGCTGCCTTTGGGAACCAGGGTCCCAGCCAGTTCTTATGCCACTGGGACTTTCTGGTTGCGGAGGCACCACTGCAGCCCAAGCAGCCCCAGAAAAGGGAGAGCGCGGCCCCTGAGCTGCTGATCCCAGGCCTCGGGTCGGGGGAGGCCCGTAAGGGAGGAAGAGGGAAGCCCAGAGGTGCCTCGGGGAACAGGGGGGTCCTCGAGGTCTGACATCAAAGTCACCGGGCCACATGGTGCAGGATGCCCTTGTCCAGGCAGAACGTCAGGGAGGGGCCTGGTGGGCTGGGTCCTCAGAGTTTCCAGGAGATTCCTCTAGGTGTGGGGGGAGAACCAGGCTGCAGAGGTGGCCAGCTCTGTGACCAGCCGTGCTTTCCTCCTCTGTGCCTCCCTGTCCTCATCTACAGAGGGAGGGCCATAACGCTAACTGCCCGACGGCACCCAGGAAGGGCCCCTCCCTCCCTGCAGGGCGGCTGGAGGCCTCCCGAGGCCGTGGAATTGGGCAGCCTCCTGCCGAGGCCCACAGTGACTTGTTCCGGTTCTGAAGGAAGCGTGCACCAGGCCGTCCAGAGCTGCGGACCAGGGAGAAGGCCAGGCCCCCGCTTCCTGCACGTCCAGAGCCGCCTCCTGGCTCAGTCCCAAGCCACTGAGGCCAGCAGGATGTGGCCTGGGACTCAGGCCCCCTTCCCTGGCAGTGGGTGTGTATTTCCCGGCTCTTCTCCGCGGTCACAGAGTCACAGATGTCTGGGTCTGGAAGGGTCTTTGCCCATGAGAATGCAGGACCTGGGGGCCGCCTACACAGACGTTGCCCAGGGAGGCCACCGTTTATTGAGCGCTTACTGTGTGCCACACTAGGTGTGCCACTAACACGTCCCTCGTGACCCGATTTAAGTTCCAGGTGAGCTCCGGGAGGCAGGCAGCTACTGTGCCCATTTCACAGAGGAGGACACTAAGGCTTGGCTGGCAGGGGAGGGAGGGTCGGCCGGGTGGCTTTGGGGCTGAAGGCCCTGGAAGGGACCAGGAGTGTGGTCTGGGCAGCTGTCTGGGAAGGCAGAGGAGGATGGAGGTCGCCTGTGTCTGCAGGTTTGGTGGGGCAGCTCCCAGTGCCATCCAGGGGGATCCAGGTCTCGGCCCAGCCTCACGAGGGAGCAGGGCTGAGCAGAGCCCTGCAGGCGGGGCCCGCGGGTCGCCCCTTCTTCTGCGGAGTCCAGGAAGCTCCTGGGAGGCCATGCGGGCTTCCAGAGGGGCCACTGTGGGGTCCGAGTCATGGCTGCCTGGGGAAGGCCCCGTAGTGGCTTCCAAGGACGTCCACCCCCAACCCCGGGAATCTGTGCAGGTCACCTCCCCGGCAAGGAGGACTGTGAGGCTGTGGATTTGCTCGAAGGCTGGAGCCAGCTGGAGCCAAATGGCCCTGCAGGTCCCCCGTGGTCCCCAGGCCCTTGTGGAAGAGAGAAGAGCCAGGGGACACCCGGAAGGAGCCACCTGTGGGTGGAGGAGGAGCCTCGGCCAGGCACCTGTAGGGGATGGAAAAAGTGGGACCAGGCTCCTTCCGGAGCCTCCCACCAACTCGGTGTCTTGTCTGAGTCAGATGACAAGCCTCCATTCTTATGCTCCAGGTAGCCCGTGGGGACAGAAAGTCCAGGTCATCAAACAAAGGACAAGGCGTACAGGCGGGGACCCGTCTCCCCACGTCGTCGCAGGCGGAGTGGGGTTTAGTCGCGCCCCAGCTCTCCGCCACGCCTCCCCCATCTCCAGTCGCTGCCTCCGTGTGACTCATTAGGCAATAAAGTCCCAAAGGCCGCTCCGTGACTGGGCTGCATGTCACAGGCTCCTGTCCCCACCTGGGGCCTGCGTCTCCCACCTGGGAGAGCCCCCAGGATTGTCTTCAGAGCAGGACAGACTGTGACCTGTCTCCGTGGGTGAGATTTCAATGACTTGTCTCTGGGCTGCGGCTTCCTGGTGTCTCTGCCGGCCACAGGGTCCTTGAAGGCCCCGCTGGCTTTTCAGCCCCGTCTCCAGGGACATCCTCTTAATTTTACAGCCTCGAAGGCGGGTCCACTTGGAATTCCTAACTTTCTGGGGTGTCTGTAAGCCCCACAAGTCCACTTGCCTGCCTCCCGCCCAGGGACGATTTTCTCCCTAGATCTACAGGATTTCTTGGGGATCCCTGACTGTCTCACCTCCAGCAGGAACCAGGCCTGCAGACACCCCGACATTGGCCCAGTGACATTAGCCCAGTGACATTGGCCCAGTGACATTAGCCAGTGAGATGACTGTGTGTGAGTCGGAGCCACTGAGTTGGTGACGTGCTGGACGCTGGAGGAAGGTGATTCATGGTGTCCTCTGCCAGGTGGGCAGGTGGATGGCGTTTCGGGATTTAGTCTGCCCCCCTCTCTCCACATGGTGGGGCTGGGGTTCCTGCCGTCCAGCTGTCCCACCCACACCAGCTGGAGCACAGGGGGACCCTAAGTCCCCTGGAGCCTGTGGGTC